CGGAATAAGTATTTTGGATAGTAATGGATGGCCTGCTGCTGGCACTGGCCTCCCTAATAAGTTGCGGAATAAATATGGTGAAGAGTAACAGGGGGGCCTGCTGCTGGCAGTGGCCCCCGTAATGAGCCACGGAATAAGTATTTTGGATAGTAATAGGGGGGCTTGCTGCTGGCAGTGGCCCCCCTAATAAATGCTGTAATAAGTATTTTTGATAGTAATGGGGGGGCTGCCTAATAAGCCCTGGAAAAAGTATTTTGGATAGTAATGGGGGGCCTGCCGCTGGCAGTTGCCCCCCTAATGAGCCACGGAATAAGTATTTTGGATAGTAATAGGGGGGGCCTGCCGCTGGCAGTGGCCCCCCTAAGAAGTACTCGAACAAATATTTTGGATAGCAATAGGGGGGCCTACCGCTGGCAGTGGTCCTCCTAATAATTTGCAGAATAAATGTTGCGAAGAGTAATAGGGGGGACTGCTGCTGGCACTGGCCCCCTTAATAAGCCCCGGAATAAATGTTTTAGATAGTAATAGGGGGGCTGCCTAATAAGCCCTGGAAAAAGTATTTTGGATAGTAATGGGGGGCCTGCCGCTGGCAGTGGCCCCCCTAATAAGCCTCGGAATAAATATTTTAGATAGTGATAAGGGGGCCTGCCGCTGGCAGTGGCCCCCCTAATAAGCTGTGGAATAAGTACTGTGGATAGTAATGGGGGGGCTGCCTAAAAAGCCCTGGAATAAGTATTTTGGATAGTAATAAGGGGGCTTGCTGCTGCAGCGGCCCCCCTAATAAGCCGCGGAATAAGTATTTTGGATAGTAATGGGGGGCCTGCTGCTAGCAGTACCTTCCCTAACAAGTGCCAGAATAAGTATTTTGGATAGTAATGGATGGCCTGCTGCTGGCAGTGGCCCTCTTAATAAGCCGCGGAATAAATATTTTGGATAGTAATTGGGGTCCTGCCGCTGGCATTGGTCCCCCTAATAAGTGCCGTAATAATTATTTTGGATAGTAATAGGGGTGAGTTGCCTCACAAGCCCCGGAATAAGTATTATGGATAGTAATTGGGGGGCCTGCCGGTGGTAGTTGCCCCCTAATAAGCCCCGCAATAAGTATTTTGGATAGTAATAGCGGGGCCTGCTGCTCGCAGTGGGCCCCAGTTATAAGCCGCAGAATAAGTATTTTGGATAGTAAAGGGGGGCCTTCCTTTGGCAGTGGCCCCCCTAATAAATACCATGATAAGTATTTTGTATAGTAATAGGTGGGGCTGCCTGATAAACCCCGGAATAAGTCATTTGGATAGTAATGGGGGGCCTGCCGCTGGCAGTTGCCCCCCTAATAAGCCCCGCAATAAGTGTTTCGGATAGTAATAGCGGGGCCTGCCGCTGACAGTGGCCCTCCTAATAATTTGCGGAATAAATATGGCGAAGAGTAACAGGGGGGCCTGCTGCTGGCAGTGGCCCCCCTAATGATCCACGGAATAAGTATTTTGGATAGTAATAGGGGG